ATATATATATAATGTCACACTCTTTACTTCTACATGTTATAAATATAACTTTTAGATGAGAAATGAAAGTCTTCAACAGACTTTCATGTGCGTGTTATATGATCATAACAGTAAAATATATATATATATATATATATATATATATATATAATGTCACACTCTTTACTTCTACATGTTATAAATATAACTTTTAGATGAGAAATGAAAGTCTTCAACAGACTTTCATGTGCGTGTTATATGATCATAACAGTAAAAAAAAAAAAAAAGACATCATTTTTAATTGGACCTTAATTGTAAAAATTTTTAAATTAAAAGGTCATTGTTAAAAAATAGAGACTAAATTACAAAATTTGAAAAGTTGAGCGGGTGTCAGTAAGGAATTTTTTTTTTTTAATAAATCTGAGAATGAAATTATTACTCCTTAGAATTTATATACACATATACATGTATATGTTACTAATTATATGATAATAACATATATTTATCATTTTTTAAAAAGAAGGATTTATTCGGTTTCAGTTCCAAACTAAAGCCACACAACACTTGCCAAATGCCAAACCATTCATGTTTAATCAGTTAACCGATCGATGGGATCAGTTACAATGTGTTGCAACCCCTCGATTTGTTAACTCGGTCATGATCGAGCAATTTCGGTTTGCTAGTTTCTAATAGAAGCTTTAAGAAAGATCTTTTTAGATTTGCAAGTCATGTGTATATAATTTAATTGGGAGCATTTCTTATAAGAATAGAAAAAATGAACTGCGGATAATTTTTTTATTTTTAGTTGTAAGATTTGTATTAATAATGATATGTTTTGCATATTTTTTTAATTTAGTGTGATTTTAATTTGATCCAATAATAAAAAACTAACACTAATAGTATGTCAAACCTATTAGAGAAACTCCAAATTTAATTTTGCTCCACCAAGTTTCTAATGTATACTAGTTATTTCTTTACGAAATAATATTACCAAATAACTCTTTTCTTAATTTCACCGTTAATTCAATTTCGAAAATTCAGAAAGAACAAACGAAAAACTAGCGAAGGGACCAGCTGAGAATGAGTGCGCGGAGAACCATCCAGGTAGAACGAGTCATCGATCGACACGTTTTACAAATAACGGACATAACGACCGAATCGACAGGGACGCCTCGCAATAGACTTGTTCCCTTCCCCTCTTTCTCAAAAACTGCATTATAAAGGCCAATAATTCCGTCATTTTTTCTTTTCTTCCTCTAATAATTTAGAGAATTAAACTAATCATCCATCAAGACTCAAGACCAACCATGGATGAAGAATACGACGTCATAGTTCTCGGCACGGGCCTCAAGGAATGCATTCTCAGTGGCCTCCTTTCTGTCAACGGCCTCAAAGTATGAACAAATTTACATTCAAATAACTCACTGTGTTAGTAAATAAATATTAAATTAATTGCTACAATTGTTAATGTTATTTCTGGCGTAATGCGTGTTTTACAAAATGTTTATTTATGCCAATACAGCCTAGGAAAATCTGGGACGCATTTCTCAGATGCAACTTTTACAACCCATTTAAAAGGAAATAAATTATCTTTGCTGTTTGGTCTAAATTTTTGAAGATAATTCTCAGAGGCCATAGAATATCATAAATTCAAGCTATTTTGTTTTTTAATTTTTTTAATTTTTTTTAGAGGCATTGTGAGACCGCAGCTCCGTACAGAAATAGGTGTTAATTAGGATATGCAAGTCTAGTTATTCACATGTACCACTTTGATCTAAAAATTAGGCTTTTGATTTTGATTTTGATTTTATTTTATTTTTTACCAAAATATAAATTTGAACTCCAACTCTGTAGAAGTAGTATTCCTCTAATTCACCTGAGAAATAAGCGGTGTAGGGCCCATCACCCTTAAGATGAGGAGTTGGGGCTTCCTAAGGCCCTCAGCATTTGCATCGTCTTTTTGGGGTGGTGGCTCGTACTGAAATTTTGATATCTTGACGATGAATTTTTGAGATTGTAATTGTATGCGGAATTGAGGGGGCTAGCTAGCTCTTTTAACTTGGTATTCACTTGAAATAGGTGCTGCATATGGATAGAAATGAGTATTATGGTGGGGAATCCACTTCACTTAATCTGCACCAGGTACAAGGTTTCTAAATTTTAATGCTTCAATTTTCATGCATGCCTCCCTATTTTTCAATGCTCGCGTATGTGTTTCATTTCTCTCTCTCTCTCTCTCTCTCTCTCTCTCTTGTAGCTTTGGAAGCGATTTAGAGACGGTGACATGCCTCCGGAGCAGTTGGGCTCAAGCAAAGAGTACAATGTTGACATGATCCCTAAGGTGCCAATATATATGTTCCTCACCTGTTATACTATGCAAACAAAAATGAGAATTCTTTGGCTAGGGCAGGGCATTGTTTTGAACTGCAGATCTTTATCAGGTTCCATGAGTTTTATTATATATTTTTTTTTATGTGTTTTTAACCAGAGAAAATGTTTGGAAACACAAACTACCAGTAGAAAGCTCCAATTTTAATATTGGTTCACCTCCTAACAACTTAAAAACTTTTGCAATAATCGGTTTATCGTTCAAATATTTCCATGTTGGATATGTCTAGGCATTCTTGCAACAAGCTCTCCAAGCCTTGGTTAAAGGAGAAACTGATACTATTTCTGAGTCCTGACCAGCTAGAAGGAGTTGATTATAAGCCTTGATTATATATGCTTGATTCATGATTGATGTTTATTCACTAGCTAGATGACGAATGCATGATTTTTTGACTCTTAAGAACAAGTGATCGTCTCATGGGAACTTTTGAGTATTTCCTTACACTTTTTTAAGCCTCAACCGATTTCATTCATTATTTTCCGTGGTCTGTTACAGTTCATGATGGCCAATGGCGCTCTTGTTCGCGTCCTTATCCATACTGATGTAACAAAATATCTGAATTTCAAGGCCGTGGATGGTAATTTTGTGTACAACAAAGGGAAGGTGCGTGATCTAAATAAGTGTCCCACAAAGTACCTATTCATACCAGTTTGCGTATTACGTTGCAAAATTTTCTTGTTTGGTAATGAACTTGGTTTTATGTTTCCAGATCCACAAAGTACCTGCTAATGATGTGGAAGCTCTTAAATCTCCACTTATGGGGTTGTTTGAGAAGCGTCGGGCCCGCAAGTTTTTCATATATGTCCAAGACTATGAGGATAGTGATCCAAAATCCCATGAGGGCCTTGACCTCAACAAAGTTACCGCAAGAGACCTCATTTCGTAATTCCTCACTTATTATCCTTACTCTTGTTTCATTTCAGCTTATCTCTGCAAACCTTATTTTTTTGTTTGCTTGGTGAAAAGTTATATTTCAAGAAAACTTGTGCTACTTGAATTTGCATAGAGAATGGAAGTGGAAAGAAAGATGAAACGATAATGAAGGACATGATAAGGAAGTTTAACGTAGAAGAAAGGGAAATCTTTAAAAGAAAACAGACGCTTCTTTAAGTTCTGTTAAATTCAAAGTGGAATTATTGATAACCGAGAATCTAAGATATTCGAATTCATCAAATGTAGGAAGTATGGACTAGATGACAACACGGTTGACTTCATCGGACATGCTCTAGCGCTTTACCGTGATGATGCTTACTTGGACGAGCCGGCTTTGGATTTTGTGAAGAGGGTTAAGGTAACAAAACATTTTTATCTTGTTCTGTCTCAATTATCTCCTTTTCTTATTGTTAGTTATGTTGAAAGTGTTCTAACATAGTTAGGCCTTTCTTTTGAGAAGTTGTATGCAGAGTCCTTAGCTCGCTTTCAGGGAGGGTCTCCTTATATCTATCCCCACTATGGCCTAGGAGAGCTTCCCCAGGTATGCATTCTTCAGAAACTAAAAGCATTTTGTCTGATTGTTGTTGTTTTGTTTTGTTTTTTGTTTTTTGTTTTTTTTTGCATTTTTTCTGATAACTTATGCTTTAAAAATCATCAGGGATTTGCTCGGCTTAGTGCTGTTTATGGTGGCACCTACATGCTTGGCAAGCCAGAATGCAAGGTTTTGAATTATAAACAGAAAATAATCTCAATTCTGGTTACAAACCTCATATGATCTCATAGGTTTTATTCTTGCTAAATTCGAACTAGATTGTGCCTGTCTAAACATAATATGACTTAACTGAATTGACCATGGAGGTTGTTCCAAGAGACTTTAAGCAAATAAAAATTCTTTGTCAACAATTGAGATGTGTTTTTGATATCTTTGGTACTTTAGCTGATCTAGAATACTAAGAGCTTGTTCTTTTGAGTGAAAAACTCAAAAAAATGCAACTCGAGTTACAACTTTATTCGAGTTCATGTTCTTTTAAGTTTAAACTCGAGTTCAAACTCGAGTTTATGACTAAAACTCGAGTTCAAGTTTCCCCTTCAACACGAGTTCAGAAACTTGAACTCCAATTAATGAACAGTATTTTTTATATTCTTAAAAATGTTATAACTTTTTCGTTTTATTTCTGATTGAGATGATTTTTTTTTCTATGCGTTGACAACGAAAAGATGAATAAAACCCGACCCATATACCATATTAAAATTTTTCATCAGCATTGAGTTTTTATTAAAATACTATATAAATACAAATTCAAGTTTTGACTCACTCAAACACAAACTCAAGTTACACGTTCAACTCAAGTTATAACTCAAATTTAACTCAAGAATTATACTCAAGTTAAACTCTAAAAGAATAAGTCCTAAGTTTCTATCGGCCGTCAGGACGCAACATAGCTAATGATACAAAATGACAATTTGCAGGTAGAGTTTGATGAGAACGGAAGGGCTTTTGGAGTGACTTCAGAAGGAGAAACTGCAAGATGCAAAAAAGTTGTATGTGATCCGTCATATCTCCCTGACAAGGTAAGACTACATAAAACATCCTTAAAACTTGGTAAAGACATTACTTGTTTTGGCTTTAATTCGACTGGAAATTCCATATTCTCTGTGTTTTACAGGTAAAGAAGGTTGGGAAAGTTGCTCGTGCAATATGTATTATGAGTCAACCCATTCCACACACCAATGATTCTCATTCAGCTCAGGTTATTCTGCCCCAGAAGCAACTTGGACGTAAATCAGACACGTATGTTTTACTAGTTTTTCTCATTCAAATACAGCCAAATCCATATATGCCTTAGACTATCTCGAATGCAAATACTAATACTGATACTAATACTAATGTTGCCGAAAGCACATAAGAGTGTAAAAAAGACATGTTTGATATGTCGCTCTGTTTTGTATTCTAATGCATTTTGCTAATTTAAAGACTAACTATTTTTTGTCATAAATTTTGAACTTTGGAACTTACAAAAGAAAGATTTTCAAGTTTTAAGTAATTAACAATAGCAAAGTTAAAATTGTTAAGTGAAAAAGTCAACAAATCAACTAAAAAGTCGTCAAATGCTAAATTTGACATATGCTATACTTAATAATTTTAACTTTGTTTAATTATTTAATCAAGTAGCATTTGAAGTTTTTACATTAATTATGGCATTTTATTGGAGAACAGTTTTCTTATCACTAATGCCAAACTTTGAGATTGGCGTTGAAATTTGGTATTGCATTGGAGATATTCTTGAAGATTTAGCATTTAGTATAACATTGTCTGTGCTTGCTTTCTCTTTCTCTTTTTTTTTTTTTTTTTTTTTTCTCCTCAATTAATAAGAGTATACTTATCCTTGTCATATCATGTTTTTTTTTTCTCCTCAATTGATAAGAGTATACTTATCATTGTCATATCATGTTTTTTTTTTCCATTGTCTTGGCTTGTTTTTTTTTTCTCTTTTTTTTTTTTTTTTTTTTTTGAAATTTGCACATCAGATTGTGAAAACAAAGCATTGAGATTATAAGCAGGAATTGTTCACATACTAACTTTGATGACATGCTTGGAAAACAACTATTTCTAATCAGGTACCTGTTTTGCTGTTCATATTCCCACAACATAGCTCCAAAAGGGAAATACATTGCTTTTGTGTTGACTGAGGCAGAGACTGATGATCCTAAAGTGGAATTGAAGCCTGGCATTGATCTCCTTGGACCTGTAGATGAAATTTTCTTCGATATGTATGATAGATTTGAACCTACAAACCAGAACGATGCTGATAATTGTTTCATATCCACAGTAAGAATCCAAAACCAAATAACTCTTCCTATCCTTGCTCATTCATAATGCTGCATTGTGTTGAATCCTCTGACTTAATAAACGTTCGCAGGTTCTAGGGATAATATTAGAGAAGATTTGTCGAGTATTCTAAAATATTGTTCCCACTTACTTTATAGTTCAACCCCATTTTAGGAATTAAAAAGCACTAATTACTCCCCTATCACAAGAGCAGTAAGAAAATGAGAAGAAAAAATTAAACATAGCACGCATATACAGTGGATCAAATTTCATTATAATTGGAAGAAGTACAATCCACTCTAAAAATTATCTCTTTCGGTCTCTTTGTTCTCCTCTACATAAAAGAGTTGTCCTAAAAATTCCTTGTATAGCACGGGAATTAAGACAAATTCGCGTATTTATAATTAGGCTCCACATAACTTGACACTGAGCAAACTAATTGGAGAATACATTTCCGGTCTCATTGTTTGTCCTAAAACGGTAAATTGAATTAAGGAAAATTATAGCCTACATTATTCTCTAGCGGTGAATTTATTCTTTAACTTTTGTCATACAAAATTAGGAACCCCAGTATAAACTAAAAGCTGTGGAGGGTTATCTTCTTGGCCGCATGGATTTTTAATTTCTCTCTCAAACTAATTTTCTTGGTCTTTGATATTGCTACCTTTGAAGTTTTAATAAAATTTTGGGAATTGGAATGCTCTTAACAGAGTTATGATGCAACAACTCACTTTGAGACCACAGTACAGGATGTGATTGCCATGTACAGCAAAATAACTGGAAAGGTAATTTCTTTTTACTACTTAGTAGGCTTGCCCATACACCTATTTTTTTTACTTGACTTTGTTAGACTTACCTATACAACGGAATTCTAGATTATATTCTGCATATCATATTATGAGTTGTAGAGTTCTAGCTTGACAAAATGGAGAGAATTTCCATCACTTTATAGATTCTTATCTTTCTTTTTGTCACTTCAACTTTGCTTCCACATGGTTCACGATTAATGAATCATGGTAATCTTAGCAAAGAAAGTTTAGAAGTTAGTTAAAACTATGAACAATGCCATCATCCACTAATAGAAAGTGAGTCCCGCAAATGAGGTTTACAAATGAGACCCACCTTTTATTAACGACGGTGCTTAGCATCGGTGGTTTCTGCAACCTTTTTTCTTAAACTATATAGATGTTGATAATAGCAATTAATCTTCAGGATCTGGATTTATCTGTGGATTTGAGTGCTGCCAGCGCTGCTGCTGATTCAGAAGAATGAAATTTAGGCTTTTGCCACAAGTTGGGACTAGTGGATGAGGAGCTTCAAGGGTCTTGTGCACCCTTTTTCTTGTTCTTTACTTATCAAACACTTTTTTTTTGTCTTTGCTCGTGGTCCGATTCTTGTTGTGGGTTGTTTACAATTTTGTAGTTTTGTACTTTGAAAAGATTCTGCTCCTTTTGCCCAACATTGACATCACTCCTGTGGGCATAAACCACAATGTTTGAGCAAAAAGTAACGCTAATGCTTTTGAAGTTGTTACCAGTTTATGTGGCATTTGATGACTCAATAGTAAATATCAAACACTAATATTTTTGAAAAATTATTAGAGTTTTTCTAGTAGGACCAGAAAAAATGAACTACCAATAGCTCTCTACAATTCAACCGTTAGATCTGTATCAAAAAACGTCTGTTCTGCATACCATTCTAATGATGTGATTTTGACCGGATTCAATAGTCAGAACTTGCACTTCCCGTAGAGAGGCTTACCGCGAAAAGAGCCAAGATTTACATGGATTAGAAGATGCATTATCATTTGTTATAAAAAGACTGGTACATATATAGTAAAAATAATTGGTTAAGTAACAGTAACTCAAGTGACCACGCATGTAGATACTATAACTTGCCAGAATCATATGGTTGGAAAATTTTGTGTTCGTTGGCAAGGCTAAGATAATCTGGTCATCCAAAGAAACAAAAAACGTGATTTTGAGTTTTGCTGTTTTGATCAAAAGCTGTGGAACCAGTCGACAAAGACGGAACTTAGCAGTTAAAACATGCATTTTAATGCTCGCCCATTGAAGGATAAGTTGCATACTTCTGTCTGTATTCATAAAGATCGTCTTTAAAGGAGAATTCTCTAGTATGATATAAAACAGGCACGCGGTTTTACATCAGATTGCCTCAGAATTGTATCAGATGAAAAAAATCATGATGATTTAAGAGACTTGATTAAAATTCGACAGTGAAACAATATCCTACAGAAAATACCGTACTACAGAATCCTCCTATAAACAGATTATATTGTGTATACTCTTTCAAGATTAGTACTTCTATTTATAGCCAACTCAAGTCTAAAGTTTGTTTGGTTCATGGGTTGAAACCGTGGTTATGATTCTGACTTAGGAAAATATTATAACATAACCAAGAATTATGGTTTGAACTATGCAGAACTCTTAAAGACAAACAGACCCTAAAGTTCTGCCGAAATTGACAATGTTAGAAAACTGCATCTAGAGCTCAGCATTTATTATCTTGGCATTGGGGCATTGAATTGGGTATTGGAACAAATTATGTTGAAGCATTTGCAATAAATGGAAGATACAAATATCTGGGCCTTTGCGTATCCATTTCAGGCTAGCCCCGATTTTCTAATACTTGAGACAAAAAAAAACAAAGAACTACACTGGCCAAAAACCTTTCTGAGGTTACAACTCCGTCTAAGACAGAATCTTCGAATCGAGTGTGAGATGGAAAAACCATGAGACAACATATTTGAATTTTGCTGCGCTTACTACTCCCTCTTGGACTTCGAGAGAGCTCTCTTCCTCTGCTTAAGCATGTAACTGTACATGTGAGGACCACCTGCAATAGATAAAGCCATAACATTAAAGGTTTCCAAATGAATACACTAGACTTGCCCAGTTTGGGATTGCTTTTGGAACTCCTAAAGGCATTTAGCTTTAGAAGACGATGCAACCAGTGTTTGGTAAAAATGCATGAAAGCACTTTACACCGACATCGATGCAGTTTTTAAGAAGCTGGATTTTGAGCTCGTTTGGGAAGTAGTAGAAGAGAAGAGAACGATAATTCAGGGCTTTCTAATTACTGTGAGGATAGTGTATGGAAAATAGCCTTTTGATTTCAGAAGAGGTTTTGAACATGTATATTATTATTATTATTATTATTATTATTATTATTATTATTTATTAGCATAATTTTTGAAATGGGAACATGTATTATTAAACAAATCAAAATCTTTTATTGTTATAAATGTAAACATAATGCAAGGATATGGATGTGATTTTAATTTGTTATTCACAAATAAAAGATTAAAAAATATAAATAAAAAACTTTTTATAAGCTCTGTTTTCCATAAGTACTAGGGAGTTTATTTGTTTAAAAAGATCTTACAAAAACCAAAAGCCCTTTGAATGTGTTCATCCAAACAGGTTGAAAAGTAGTTTTTGGACTAAATGAGCCAAAAGCAGCTCTTTTAGGTCATTCCAAACAGGCCCTTTATAATTTTCAGCTTCTGCTCCTACTTTTGCTACAAGTAAATGTAGTTGCAAAAGTAAATGTAGTGCTTCTATTATAAGCACGACAATCCCAAATTGGGCCTAGTAATACAAAGTTAGCTAGTTTGTAGTGAGCTCATTCATACCTGGGACATAGATACCGAAGACAAGAAGTGCGGCATAGAAATAATCGAAAGAGAAGTTCCATTTGTTTGGCATCCTTATGCAGTACTTCTCAGATTTCTGCAAGGATAGAAAATCATTTAGTGAACTTGTTTTCAAACAGAATTGCGAAGAAGACACCGATTCGCATATTTCGCACTGTCATCAAAGTTCAAACTATACCTGGATGTATGGCAGGGCAACATAAATGAGACCAACTTCGCTGGCAATTCCAGTAGGATACAAAACCAAAAAGGTACTATACCTGCATAGCATATAATTAAAAGGATCGATCAATGAAACATGTAGAAATCAACTTCCTCAGTAAACCAATGGGATGGGGGACAGTTTATACCTGAGCCACATGAGCCATGAAGGCGCGGAACCAAGCGCCTCCTTCATCCCAAAGAAAGAATATCGTATAATCTTCAATTACAAGGAAAAAGAAAATGTAAGAACTAATTGTTTCATGGTCACTTATCCACCAACTTAAAATCAACATGACAACAAACCGATATCAAGGGGGAAGCATATATGCATCAGAACACTTTATCTTGGAAAATAAAATATTATGTCAAGGCGTGTCTTGGAAGCTTGTATTCAATTCATTATCCCTTCCATATGAGGTGATATCAAGCAAATTTGACTTCACGGAGATACAAAAAGTGATTAGCCTTATGCGTTAGACTTGAGTTGCAAGGTTCATTCCGTTCATTTTCGAGCTTGATTAACAACAACATGACAACTTTCAAAAATATTTACTGGGAAAAAAGAAAAACAAAGAAATCAGTTAAAACCAGCACAGAATTTGGGCTATTCGCCATTAAGACACTTTTAATTTCTTCATTGACATGTTATTCACACAGATTACGCAAGCAAAGAACATCGCTACTACCTATGCAATCCTTTCGCAAAACACTGTAAACATAAAAAACGAGTGAACCATAGTTTCTGATAGACTTCAAAGGGATAGAAAATGACATTTCTGTGATACTTGCCTCTGTAATAGACCAGCTGGTGACCAAAGAGCTCACAAGTATATGGTTCCGAATCTGCCACAAGCCCACAAATAAGGTTCATTCACCAAAAACTCTTATAGACAAATCATTATACAATGAAAATGCTCAAATTAGTCATCCCACCTCAGGAAAACTCCACAAGATCCCCCAAGTCACATACAATCTTGAACTTATCTGTGGCAGTGTTGCTGTGATTGGAGATCTCACAAGACCTTATTCAATGAAAATCAACAAAAATAAAAAACCCCACAAAAAAAAAAAGAAATGAACTTTTTACTTTTTTCCTTTTCTATTACCAAAATTAAGCCTACCAAAAAAAAAAAAAAAAGTCTACTAACCTACCAACCCGTGAAGAATCTGTCACCAAAGAGATCAAGGTCCACCAAGTAGCGAAAAAAGAAAAAGGTCAGAATACATTATTATTAATAAAAATCAAAATTTTGGACATTAGGGTATTTTCATTTGCAAAAGTTAAGTCATTTAAGGCATTTATATAATAGAAAAACACTTTAATAAAAAAGTTAAATTTAAATTTTTATAAAAGAAAATAGCAATATGATTTGAGTACCAACAAGTCATTGGAAACAAAGATCACCCCACTAGTCCTAGTCCATGGGCGCATTTTTAAACTGACAGATTTGAATTAAAATTATTCAAAATTACACATGTTGGTACTCGGATTTGCTTCAATTTTGATGTGATGTTATAAACCAGAAGTAACAAAGGTGTACCCTACTACTACTACCACTAAAAAATAATCCCCTAAATTGATTTAAAACACAAAGAGAAAAATTCAAAAATAAAGAAATCATTTCCTATTTTCCTTTCCTACGAAAAGAAAAAGGAGAAGAAATACTACCTCCAAAACGGCAGCGGATTGAGCAAGCAGAAGAGGGCGTTCAACGGCGTCGTATACCCCTTCATGGCCGGACTCTTTCAGAGTCTTCACAGCCAAATACAACACTTGAAACCTGCAAATATATAAACATGTTTATATATATACACACACGTACATATAACACCAAAATTTACAAAATTAGTATGTTTTTGAGATCTGGGTTTCGTTTAACAGAGAGAAAGAGAGGGGAAATTAGCAATACCAGCCGACGAGGGCGGCCCAGTTGTAGAGGGTGAGATACACGCGCCTGATGAGCGAACAAGATCCCTCCATTGGAAAACAGGAGGAGAGAATCCTACGAAGGAGAAGAAACTGGGAAAAATAGGTGCGACAATGTATTAGTATTATTAGTTAGTGTTCAAATTCGGTGATTTTGTACTTTGTCGGGTTCGTATAGTAATTATTTATTTATTAATTATGTGACGGAAATTTATGAGGTGTAGGTGAGTAGTTCAACTAATTCCTGAACCAGTTGTGTAAATCAATTATTATTATTGTTATTATTATGGTTGTATTTGTTTTTGGTGTCAATTAGTTTTCACGGTTGGAAGTTGGAACAACCACTATTGCCCACTTTAATAAGATTCTCATCTCCCAAACAGATTGCGGAATTTTATGTACAGAGGGATACCCCAGATAAGTACACAAAACAGAGTTCAGTTTTGCTAAAAGTACACGACGGATTTCTGTTCTTTTTTAGAACTAGGCCCAAGTCCTTGGCCCAGTACAAGCTGACGTGTTGGGCTTCCTAGCAGCACAAGTCAGCCCATTGAAAACAATTTTAAGTAAAAATTACATATGACCTTTTTTTTTAGAGTCTAATTAGAATGTGGTTTAATTTTACAAATATCACTTATATGACTGATTTTTTGAATTACAGACGTGTTCTTTTATTTCTTTCTAAAAAAGTAAAAGTGGTAGGTTTTAAATTTTTACTGTTCATTTGTTGTTGGATATTTTTTTCTTTTTTCGTTTCCTTTTTTTTCATCATCAATAAAATTTGATGTTTGGGATCATGTTAATGCGGAATAAATTTATATATCATCATTATAAGGACTATTATAGGAAGTCAATTTCTACATTAAGCTTTTGTGATAAATGAAATTGCTAAGAATGTTGTTGACTTTCTTTAGCCCCTATTTATATTGAACTTTGTATTGTTTCTAATACGACACTGAGTTTCTTATAATTATGACTTTGAAAGTTTTAAGTTGATTTTTAGGTTTATTCGAATTGATGTTTTATAAATTGATTTGTGTATTTAGCATGATAGATAGAAAGTGCCTCTGATGTTCTTAAAATTGTTGGTATAGTTAAGATGATATGGTTAGGGTATTGGTTGTTGTTCTTTTGTTAGAAGGAGATGACTCTTCTTCTTAGAGTCTATAAGGTAGATACTTCATTTTGTTCCTTATTCTTATGAACTATTTTTGAATCACTTTTGTCATTAGGTACCTGTTTGTGCTTAACTGATTCTGTATATGGTTTGCTTCATCTTTTGTAAATTTAGTTTCCTCCCACAATGCTCTATTTTAAGAAAACTCAACACCAAGTTATGAATCTTAAATGTTTTGAATTCGATACTTTTCTACCATTACCTCCTGATATCATTATGAACAATCACAAATTATGGTTTGAAATTAATATGTATGTGTACACTCGTGAGCATGTTCTTGCATTTGTAAGACCTTAGTGGTTTGGAACTAATAGTAAAATACCTTTGATCTTGTGTTTTATTAAAACGTTGCCAAAATGCACCCCACTTCCTCCCATTTTTTTCAAGTCCTTCCTTATATTTATATTTATTTTTACTTTTTATCCTACAATTTATTTATTTCGCCATTTTAATTCTTTTTTTCTTACCCTTTTTATTTTTGTTATGAGAATTTATTTTATTTTTCATTTTGGTCTTTTTAGCCCTAAAATTTATTTATTTCTTTGTTTGGCCCTTTTCTAACCCCTTTTTTATTTTGCCCTTGAAACTTTGTCTTTTTTCATTTTGGTTCTTTTTGTCCTAAAGCTTTTTTTTTCCCCTTCATTTGAGTCCTTTTTTGACCCATTCTTTCTCATTTTTGCCCTAAAACTTTATTTTTTTCCCCTTGTTTCCCTTTTGCCCTAAAACTTTTTTTTTCTTCATTTTAGTCCTTTTCTATCATTTTTTTTGGATCTGTCTTGAAATATTTTTTCGTTTTGGTTACTTTTGCTCTAAAGCATATTTATTTCTTCATTTTGGTCTTTTTTACTCCTTTTTTTTGCCCCGTAACTTTATTTTTTCCTTTTGCCCTACAACTTATTTATATCTTCATTTAGTCCTTTTTGACCCTTTTTTTGGTTTCTTGCCCTAAAATTTTATTCGTTTTTTCCTTTTTAGGATTTTATATGCTTATAATAATAATACATTAATAAAAACTTTAACACACGGATTATTCTCCACGTGCATAGCACGTGAAGTTCAACTAGTATCTCTAATAAGAGAATACATCCTTATATACAGAGGATAAGCCAACTCTAAACTACCACATACTAATCATAAATGTACAACAATTAACAAGATTAAATGAGATTAGGTGGAACTAATTGCAATTAGTTGGAGCACTTCTCTCAACAGGAACCAAGTGGAATCACTCTTTATGAAAAAGTTTTGTTCTAGCGCGAACCTTTCCCTTTTTCCCTGCCCAAGTGGAGATATATATGTTTTTTCCCCTTAGCCAAAAAATGTTAATTGTTTTTATTTATTAGTATATGTGCTTTTTATTGTATTTTTATTTATTGAAAAGACTCTTCAACAGAGATGACATTCATCATGCTTGTTTGTTGCAGCATTGACATCCAAATAAATACAAGGTATATTCAACCTATATTTTGTGTGTGTTTCTATCATTTAGTTTTAAATCTATATTTTGGTGCGTCTTCCATTTTTTTTTTTTTTAATTTTTTTGAAATCGGAATCCAAGATTTTTTATTTCCACTTCTTCTTTCGCTTCTTAACCTTAAACTAAGAAATGACAAAGGATTTGCGACAATTCTACCATTTCTTCTTCCTTTTTGTCTTTTTTCTAGCTTGAATTTTGGTTGGGTCTATAGAGTTCTCACTTGGAGCTTCAATTTGCTCAAATATTTTGATGTTATGGTGATGCTTAACTAATTAACTTATCAATTTCACTCACCTCAACAGAGGCTTTTGAGGCTTCCCATAGTTATTGTTTTTTTTTTTTTTTTTTTTTTTTTTTTTTTTTTTTTTTTTTTGTGACATTATGAATTAGACTATAAATGATTCATTAGGCTTCACCGTCTAAAGTTTTAGAGGAAATTATATTTGTTTTGTTGGGTGCTCTCTTTCTTCATTACTCAAATAAG